TGCAGGGCCATGTCTGAAAGCTATCTAACATCTCATCATATGTGCATGCACATGTTGCAGCTTAAAGATATAAAAATGTTTAAAGTCTGCAAACATTAGGATGTTGTAATATGACTGTGGGAATGACTACATGGTTATAGTAGCCATTCTTGTTTCAGGATATTCTTTTTGTCTCACACACCAGGGTGCAGTGACTGTCAGACAGGGGAAACAGGATTTTAATAAGGTAGGTGAGGTGGATGTGCATCTGTGTGTGTGTGTGTGTGTGTGTGTGCTTTACAATGAGAGAGAGCATGCATTAATGAGTTGTATGCACACAATGTAGTTCTCATTCAGCCTCTTTTTCTATGAAAAAAGCACTTTAAAGTGGAAAAACAACACACAACGGTGGAAACTTAACTTGAATTACCAATAAATTACCAATGGTAACACACCACCTCTGCTGATACTTGAGCTGCTGCAGACGTGCACTGAGAGAGACGAATGCAATGTATTTTCTTACAATAACGAATTAAAACAAAAATAAAAAAATATCACATTGCTTACTTTTTATTGATTTCTTCTGTTGTGATTTCTGCAGTTTTGTTCTTGGTTTCAATGTATACTTCTATCATATAGTTATGTCTTTTATTTTTATTTTGAATTGTTTAGCCTTTTCTTTTGTTTTATTGATACTGTGTGATTTTAAATAGTTGTTTTTCTGTGGATGAAAGACCAGTGACCACTTTCTGGAATAAAGAATAAAGTCTTAAAGGCATAGATAATCTACTGATAATGAAAATATTGAAACAAAAAAAGGTTTTAAAAACCCAAGACTAAGTTTAATATTTAGGCAGCCTAATGGTAGATGTTTACAGCCAGGTGGACGGCACAAAGGGTAGACACCAAAGGGAACATGTGGAATGAACCTAAAGTTAAATTCTGACAAACAAGGATCCAACCAACCAATAAAATGGCCGGAAAAGAAATGGATCCATTGTTTATGTTATTAGTTCCACATGTGCTTTTATTGAAATTGAAAGTCGAGTGATAAACTGATGAAATTGTAGTCAGTATACATGCAATCAATTTATCCATTTTCTGGCTGGCATGACAGATAATGTTTGAGAACCACGACAGTACATCCAACAGGGATTACTTTATAAAACTCCAACTTATGGCCATATTTAATGAAAGGAATAACTAACAGGTTTAAGGTTGGTCAGTTGTTGGTAACACCAGTTGAGCTCCACGATGGAGAGTTGACCCTTAAAGTCTAGCCTGGGACCAGGAGTTAAGATCAAATTAACCTACCATACAGCAATTTAGTTTCAGGCCATTCCAGCAACTGTCAGTAAAACTGGTTTCTGGAGGGGAAGAAGCATTTCAGGTATGCCCTCAGGAGACTGAGCATTCGTCTCTGCGGCCAGACCTGTACATATAAATAAATTTTCACTTATGAATCACCATTTTAAAGGATTGTGTCAGTGAATCAGAAAATCTACTACAAATTTCTGCAATTTCTAAGCAAAATACACATATCAGAGTTGCAAATTCCATAATAAATTTCAAGGTTTTTAAATTTTATTCAGATTAGTGTTACAGTTTTTGTTTCCTTGGTTGCACACCCCGACACAGTAACTAGCTGAGCCTCTTGGCAGGCCTGAGGATAAGCACACTGAGTGCTTGCAGCTGAGATAGACATCAGTAAAGCAAGTGTAGGCCTATGAGTTGGACTTCCCCAATTCCTCACCAAGAGCTCTATAGCTGAGTGACATTGTGCCTTCTGTTACACAACACTTGCAACTGATACAGAAGTTAGTTTTCCTCCCACTGCGTCGCATGCACCCAAGTAGATAAATGCTCCTGCAGTACTGACAGGGAACAACTGGTTCTTTACACTCTGTGGTCTGTCAGTAGAGTTCTGATAGTGATGCCTTATTTCACTCTGATTCTTCTCGCATGTATTGTTTGACAACTGTAATGGGCTTATTTATGTGCACAAAGGCAAATCTGAGGCAGCTTTTATTTCTCCCCCTGTGGTATAAGAACTTGGGCTGAAGTGTGGTGGGTGGATGAAACAACAGTGTTGACAATATCTGCTTATCTGCTGGCTTTGACCTGATGGGAGCAAGGCCATGGCTGGATGCGCCTCCCTTATCGCCATATCTACGTCTGCGGGGGCCAACCCAGAACCGCTGGCCAAGCTTTTTTTTTCCACCACCATGCCTCCGGGTTTCAGGTGGGCTTTTTGTTCCCCGTACAGGCAGAATGCAGGCTGTGGGCTAAGGAACAATACTGTGTTCAGAGAGCAGGGAAGAAACTGCACGTAGCAATGTTCACATCATATTATGCAAGGGAACTCCCTGTTACCTCTGTTTCCAAGAAAGTATGGCTCTCTACCCCTCTATAGGCTGAAAGAAACAACCATCTAGAGAGACCACATAGCTCTGCCAAATCAAATTAACATGGTCATCCCAGAAAGAGACCATTTGTTTGTTTTTCAGTCAGATGAAAAACGTTTATCATAAACTTTATGCGCAGATGAAAAACACAATCATCTGACAAAAAATATTATATCAATAAAAATATGGCTCTGTTGCATCTGAAGTGGGGTTATTCAAACGTATAATACGGAAAACATGAAGTAAATTACGAGTTAACCTCTCTGACTGGCAGCAGTTTGACGTGTGTAACACTTGAATAAAACCCAGTAAGGACTACAGGTCCAAGGTTGATGTGATACTACATGTGTTAAGTAACTTTTTAAATCCCAGTTCACATTCTGTCCAAGCTCACTGCAGAGACACACAGACACCAGGTAGGTCTTTCTTTGAGCTTCTTATTATATAATAAAGATTGGAAGCAGCAGGTTTATAGTAATATAATAGTTTATAATAAGCAATATATATATTGATATTCATTATCAGAAGCTGGTATTTGTGCAACACATACAAATTAGACTGAAAACATTTAATTAAGATAATAAGCTTGTAAAATATTTTATAGCAATGGATGACTCCCTTTAAAGGCAGTTAATGTCATCGGTCCATATAGCAGGTTTTATGTAACACACTCTTTACACTGTTGTAGCTGCTGGGTTGAACTTTGCTCACTGATTATTCACTCACATGTTGTGACGATAAGGTTGATGAAATACAACTCTGATCCAAAGATCAAAAAGGGTAAAATGTGCTAATAGATTTAATCTATATTTCTAAAACCTTAGAAAATGTCAAGATATAGAGACTAAATATTAGATAACAAGGTAATTAACAACCAGCACAATATAAACCTTGATGTGTGCAATAATTCAATGTTTAGAGCCAATTATATATTCTGAGATGTAATGATCTGCAATCAACTTTTGCATCACAGTAATAAAATGGGATTTATTTTTTAGTTGTTATAGAGCATAAGTCTGCATATACTGCAAGTGTACGTAGTTCAGGTGAGGGAAACGTCCTGTGGAACATATGCAAACAGTAGTTGTATTGTGAACACAACAGTGATGAATGTAACTAAAAAGGTTTACTCATACAGGAAACACAAGCTCAAAAACTAGTTGTTCAAGATGGGTTAGACTTTAATCTAGACTTTCTGGAAAGAAGAAAGAAGGGAAACACTGCGATGTAATAACAGACAATCAATTCAGATTGCAGGTAAAGGTAGAAGTAATGTCCTCATTCCCCAGTGGTAGACAAAAGAAATCAACGTGGCATTAATAGTAAAAGTTTTACAATAAAATCCTGAAATATTCTAAAACATAGCGTCTTCGAAATGTAATGAGACCTTCTAAATTTCAAGAACAAGGGCCTGAATGTTAATTCATTTATTTTCTGTAGATTCATTCAGTAGCAAGTGGAAAGGAAGAAGTAACTATGAATAAGTCAGACAAAGGCAGACAGACCACACCCAATGGGAATCTCTTTTTCTTTTGACATGTATCAGTTTGGATTATCGGGGAGGGGGGCAAACAATGGAAACATGCAAACTCCACACACAAAACACCTGTGAGGCAACAGTGAAGAGCAGGGGCGGATCTATCTCTAAATATTCATGATGTGGCCAGAGGGTGGTATGGACACTTTAAAGGGTGGCACACATCATCGCAAACAATCCCATATATCAATAATTATAACAGGAGGCGATTACAACAAGTAAAACATACATACAGGTAATGCAAAAAAACAGACAGATACAATAGATACGGAGGGTTTTGCCGATAAAAGTTTCATAAATTAACTGATACCAATGGATCTGAGTGATGGCCAGTTGACTAGAGATTACAAGTTAACAGTTACAGTAAAGAGTGTTGAAAAGGACAAAGTGGATGGCAGTATTGCAGATACTGAGAAGATTGAGAAGACTTTTGGAGGCAAACCTGTAGCCTGAGTGAACCAGAGTGGGTAAATGATGCTATATTTTGATAGAGGAAACCGATTCTTGCTTTGACTGTCGATGTGTGTTTGAAAGCAGAATGAACCACCCAGATACCCTGATATTTGTAGGACGTGACGAATTCAAGTTCTGACGCGTCCAAGGAAGAGATTTTGTGAAGATATTTGAACTCAAAAACATTACATTATTATGGCACATAAGTAAGCATTGAAAATAAATATCTACAGTTTCATTTCCAAATCACAAGATATTTTTCCCAAATACATGTATTTTTATGTTGAACTTAAGTTTATCACTTAGTCTCTAGATCCTCACATTAATTAACGTTTTTTAACACATTTTTTTTTTAATCAATCTAAATGTGTTAGTTTTGGGAACAGTTGACACCAGTTGGGGTGGCCAGGCATTTCCATTTAGCCGCCTCCCTCCCAGACCCGCCCCTGCTGATGACATGAGGTTGGAGGTCGTAACGAGATCAACTTAGATGAAAGAGTTGTGTTTTAATCATACATTGATTTATTTGAGTCAAACTTTGTCATTTTAACTGTGAGGTTGACGCGTATGAAACCCGGAACCTTTCATTGCGGCGCTTGAGCTCACACGGCGTGTTTTGACGGTTACACCAGGGAGCTGTCAAGCCAACAGAAGTGCCTCTCTCCTTATCCGTGCAGTAAGCTCTCTAAAACTGTCAATTCCGACTTAATCCAGACAGAAAATGTGCCTGTAACGCGTTGCTGTGATAGTTTATTGTTGAAGGTGAACATGTTGATGAGTTATAACCGTTTAACTTTGAAGAGTAACTTTGTTTTTCACTGTCAGCAGAAACGGTTCTGGTGACCTCGGTAAAGCAGGACATTGTCATTAACAGCCAATTAACAGCTAATTACTGCACGAATCTTATTGCAAACATATGAAATGAATGTCTCAGTGTGTTTACAGAGCTGCTGGCTAACAACTGTGGCTCAGTGATTAGTGTTGATCCAATTATCAGCCATTCTTAAGTTAGTGACTAGTAAACAGTGTGCTTCTCCTTAGAGCTGCAGGGACACATAACCCAGAGACAGAGGTTAAAGGGCAGCACAAACAGCCTTCAGGGCACACTGATGTAAATATGTTCTTGTTTTACACGTTTGGAGGACACACACACACACACACACACACACATAATGTCCAAACACAGATAAGAGAATAATGTTTTTCTTTTAAAGCCACACCTCGCTGCGTCCTTGTGCTTCACATCGCTCTTTATAAACAGTACCTTTCTTCAGATATCGGTTCACACGCATTGGGTTCATATTAACATTAAAACAACACGATACAACAACGTAGAGATATTAAATTATCGTAATTCATGAGTGCAAAGGGATTAAAACACATACAGCCATTCGTCCAAATTGTTAAGGCCGTCATGATTACAGTTTTTCACTCAATTTATCAACACCTGAGGCTTTTTACCTCACTGTAACTGTATAGAGTTGAGTACAGTAGGGCAGTTTCTGTAAGTGTAAAACCAACACTGCTGCATTTGTAGATCATCAGTAAAACCTAGAAGAAGTGCTTAATGTGTATTAATGTCGAGGTGTCAGCGTACTATGAGTTATATGTTAATATAATATACATAAGTCAGGTTTGATAATAAATAAATCGTCATTTATGAAGCAGAAAATGACGAATATTTGCTTGTTCTGGCTTCTCAACTGCTGGGTTTCCATTGCTTTATCATTATAAACTGATATATCTTTGGGTTCTGTACTGTTGGTGAGAAAAAAAACAATTTGAAGGCATCATTTTGGGCATTTTTAACTATTTTAGCTATTTAATTATTGAACTACTATGTGACAGTTTATAGATTAAGTAAGTAAAGCTTTATTTATATAGCACCTTTTTGACACAGAGATTCAAAGTACTTTACAAACAACAAATAAATATATATAACCATACCCAATCAAACAAACACAGGGAGCATGTAAATACAAACAAAGAAAGTAATTGTAATGTAATGTAATGTAATTTCAGCTGAATGTTTCTGAAATCAGTCGATTAAAACTTGTTTCTGTCCGTCCTCTGCAGGCCTGCGTGATGGCCCAGGCAGACAGCAAGGTGCTGGTTCTGGGAGCGTTGGCTGGAGTGGCCGGCATCAGTTTGGCTGTGGTTTGTTACCAGGGCTTTAGGTCGAGACGGAGAGGCTCGTGTCCGGGCTTGTACCTCAACCGCACTAATGAACAGAGGACTGGCGTCATGTTGGTGGATAGTCCAGGTCTGCCGAGGGGTCAGGCTGAGGTGCTGGAGCGCCTCGAGGCCCTGATCCAGTGCGTGTCCGAGCTGAAGGATGAGATGAAGTCGTTGAAGAACGCTCTGCCGACGCTGCCGGACCATATCAGGGAGGAGCTTATGGGGCAAAATGTGGCGCGCCGAGCCAGCCCGCTCCACAGGACCACACCAACGCGAAGGAAAAGGGCTGCGGGGACCCTCGTAGGGGCCAGAGCTGGAGGTCGGAGCTCAGAGGAAGCAGAGAGCGAGGGAGGGTCAGTATTTTAAAATGCTGTGAAACATTCGATATTCCAGTTTTATATCAAATTATACATTTCTCACCCTCAGATTCTACGGTAGTAATCAAAATCAAATCAAAGTCATAGTGCCACCCCTGTTTCCCTCACAATTACACAAAGACTTTAAATGCTTTATTTGAACCCAACAGTTGCATTCAGGTTTACAGGATTCACACACACACACACACACACACACACACAGAATAACCCAAAATATTAAATGTATTTGTTAAACTGAACTCACACACTGTCCCTGGCTGACTACTGAACCAAACATTAATTTAACACACGGCAGACTTGGACCTTTGATAACAGCCAGTATTTTGGATCGTTGCTTGATAATTATTACTTTTCCGGATCAGCTTGTGCTCAAAGTGCAGTATCCTCTTCACATTTACCGTCTATTTGTAGTAATCACACACTGTTATTTACCTGAATATATTTGTATTAGTCCCAACCCTACATAATCCCTGTAGGAAACCCATAATGCATCTGCACAAGGGTCTTTCTCTGGCTGATACACATTAATGTCACTAAACAGTCCCATAGTAAAAAGATCTTAAACATATATTAGAACTAAACAGGGCTTTACTGCAGGAGCATTTCACTTGGATTCACACATGAAAAGACACAGATTCACAGAGTTCCTGTGCTAAACTTAAACTCCTTCTGCAAGCTGGTGTCAGTACTCAGCCAAAGGGAAGAACCTACACTCTGTAACTACACAACTACAATCGTTTGTAGTTCCCACAACACAGACAGAGTGATACGTCTTCTCTAGCTGACGTCTGCCATTCCAGGAGTCACGTTATTCAAATGAAACTTCAGGTTAACAGTCAGTATGACTTCACTTCTGTCTTATCTCATTTCAAGTTGTAGCTACATGTTGTGGACATTAATCAAAACAAGTGTGTTAGGTTGATTTCTCCATTCACTGCAGGTTGTAAGTATCTGCAGTGGCTGCCTATAACTCAGGACTTTGAAATGAATGAACCAATAAATCAATTAGGCAGCGTCTTGCACTTTTATCCCTTACGGACTAAGATGATAAGGTTGTCACAGAAGTGGATTTGTGGTGACTGCGTGAACTGTAGGCATTCCCCTGAATTCAAAGACAAGAGAGCGAACATCAAGGGGATTTTTAGGAAGTACTTGAGGGTGTTTGACAGTCAGTCAGTCAAAGGAAAGGAACTTGTATGATGAATGTTGGTGAAAAGGAGTATGTGGTTTTCTGTGAACGTAGACCAATAAGCTCTTCAGATTTGAACTCGGATCAGTAAGATCAAAGTGTGTGAAGACTCAGGAACATTTTTACTTTAATCAAGTGACTGGTAGCTCACCTGCTAGAGTGCTGCATGTCGTCACCTCTCTCTCCCGCCCACTCCTGTCAATCTTCAACTGTCCCGATGAAATAAAGCCATAAGAAAGCCTGAAAAAGAAGTTTAAAGTCCGTCCTATCACATATTATACTGACATAGAGATGTGGATATTAAATAAATTCAACTTTAAAAGGTAATTGGATAAAAACCGAGCTTATAATAATTTTGAATCAGTGGCATCAGTACATACTTTGACCAGCAGACTTCACTGTTTACAATATTTCGCTGCTGCTCGCGATTTCGCAGCTGAGCCGATTTTTGAATAAAAGGGTTTTAAAATATCTGTAAATATCGACCTGTGGTATGTAAATTCTAAGCATTTATATAAATCTTTCTGCAAATTATCAAACTCCACATCAGCCACAACATTTTCCTCAATGTGATCATTTTCAGTAGAAACACAAGATCGATAGATTAACAGATAAATATCTCAACAGGTGACAAACTGAAATTGATTTAAGGTTAATTTCCACTTTAACAATCATATCCGTTGATCAGTACGTGAATCTAGAAATCTTGTGGCCCTCCTACTTTACCAGTAAAACTTGTTTGCTCATTTTACGTGCTAAATTATAGCTATGACAGAATGTACATTTGCCTCAGGTGCTGCAGAAAACAGCAGACTAATCAAGTACCACATGCCCAGTCATTCACCTCCACCCACAGCCAAAATGCCTTGAACTCGTGCCAACCTCGGATAACATAAACAGCAGATGTGTTTCTTTTGAATGGACTATCAATTTTAAATATCATCTCATAAAAACAAATATCAACTGTTAAATGATGATGATTAAGCCGAAGCTTTAATGTTTTCAGCAGTCAGGCAGACTGAAGTTTTTCTTGGACATGATTGAATATATTTTAAACACGCGATTCAGAAATTTAATCAAATCAGAGAATGCATATCGCAGCACATGGAGATCTTTGCAAGGACAGGACTGGTGTTTTGTTTTCCTTAACCTTGATTGACCTGAGCTTCATTTGTGTAGGACAGTGGCTCCCAACCTGGTGGGTCATAAGGCCTTTTTGATTTTAAGGGGTGTGAGAAAGCTTAAAAAAAATAAACATATATCTCAGCATTTTCTTCACTTCTGTAAAGGAAACTAAATGAAACTGTTATTTTTAGAGTTTAGATGATTATTTACTTCACTCTCTCGTCCTGCGGTAGTTAAAAAGATTGTCAAAGAAAGGAGTAAATTAAGTCTGTATGATTATTAAAAAATATCAACATATCTCTGGTGCAATATTCACAGAAAAAAACACCCGAATCTTTTGTTTTACACAAACTTCCTGCACTTATTGTGTTCCCGATCTGGGTTAATTGTGCAGTTTATCGGCTGTTCTGTACTCTTACTGTCATGCGTTGAATATATATGTCACTCAGTCAGGGGTGGTCAGTTTACTCAGTGATAGAAAAACACAGAAAACAGGTCCCTGAAGGAAAAAGGTTGGTAACCACTGGTGTAGGAAGCGTTGTACGTGAAGCGCCAAGAAGACATCATAACACCGAGTGCAGCTGCTTTCAAACCCTAACCACACTGTTTTAAGGTGTGCAGTGAGCCTTAGATCAGAGCTGCACGGCTCTTCCCTATCTCTGTTACTTTCCTCGCAATGATTGATCAATTGCCTCTGAGCCATTTTTTACAACTACAACAACATGAAGTGGGCCAACCGAACATCCAGTGCACCCTGGGTAATTATCAGTGTTGTGTTTTACTGTCTGTGTCCTCTAAGAATCACATTCCACACAAAGGTTGGGTGGAGTGGGGGCGTTTATGTTTTCACCATAAGCCAGCGTCAGTTGTTATATAATCTTTAACATACTTGAGATAATTCAGATGCACCCAGATACGGGTCCATGAACATATATTGTTTGAAAAACATTACTTTTTTTCCCGGCAAAATGTGTGAAAGAACCAGGTTTTCAGGTCACGTATGTTTGTTGGCATTGGAAGTAGGACAGCTCGCAGACAGGTAATAACACCATATCATATGAGTCTTCTTTCACGATGGATAAACAGTTCAGGTCGACCCACCTCTACTTATGTTACCGTGGCCCTCCTCATTGGCTGGAGGAGCAGATGCAGGTGTAAGACTGCCCTCTAGCAGATGAGGTTCACAGGTTTTGAGTGACAGTCGTCGGCCGCATCAAATGCTCTTAATTACAGCCCGGGTTATTATGCTTTAAAAAAAATCACATCACGCACACACCTCCCATAATTAAAGAGCCTTTCCTGCCGCTCTGTTATTTGTAAGAGCACAGGGTGTGGGGGAATAGTGGGAATGGTACAGTGAAGAAATTTCAGCCCCTTAGGAAATGTCTAGCGATCCCCCAGAGGAGCCAGTTACACCCCTAATCCTCACTTCCATTTAAAGGGCTCTTCAAGTCTTGTTCGGCTGGCTTGGAAGTGTTTGGAGCACAATATCTCCACACAATATCCCCATGAGAGCCGCGATGCTAAGGGTTGGGTAATAGTTATTGCACGTTTGTTGAAATCTAAAGCCTTAAGAATGCATTTAAGATTAGTAAGATTAGTGTATTTATTGCTTCGTGCTAAATGCAAGTTTGCAAACATCTCAGTTCAACATTTTGCCAAAAAAAACAAGAAGTCATGTTGACACATAATAACATAATAAGTTTAGCTGTTGCATAATAAGCGATTTATAACATTAAAGAAAAACAGTTGTGTAGTTTACTGAACTTCTGTAAATAAAGGATTTTAGTGGGGCAGTAGATTTCCAACAGGGGGCATCCTGCAAGTATGAACAGGGCCTTCAACAAATCCTACAGCAAGCTCTGCTTCAGAACATGATAGATGCACATCACGAATAGGCAACAGCTTGTGTTTAAACCCTTCTGGAGTTGACTGCTTTAGCAAGCTTAATGGTTTTTCTAACATCTGTGTTGAAATGTTTTCTCTAGTTTCATAACTGCAGTTGATTAGTAAAAGAAAATATACAAATTATTATTTTCATGAATCAACTTTGTTCCTCTATGTTTGTCAGATATTTCAAGCATGACCAGTGTTGGCACATTGTCTAATAATAAGGCGCTCTAGCTCCACCCTGAGTCTGTGTAATGATGCATATTACATCGGCAGAAATGTTCCAGAGTAACAGAACAATTAGTGTGACATATTGTAGTGGTAGTAAGGTAGTGTCGATCAAAAAACGGGGGAACATGTAGACCCAGCCACTGAAAGGTTGAAAGGTCCAGCTGTTTATTCACTCCTCTTGTGTCACAATGGCTTCCTCATAGCTACCTCTCTGCAGGTAAGGAGACCCATCAATCACCCTGTCTGTGTGCCAAGCTGTCAGAGGCCTCATTTAAAAGTGTCTTGTAGGAACTTGTAATTCCTTGAACAGTTCGGCAGAGTTTATTCACATCACGTCGCTGTAGCTCGAGGACATTACCACTTCTTTTTTCCTTTTCCAAAAAAATAGCATTTATGATATTGGATAGTTGTTGATTTAAGCAGATTTAAGCAGAAGTTTTGTTTAGTGACGGGCAAGCCTGATCAACACACACCGAAATTTTTAGAAAAAGAAAAAGGAGCTCATTGTCTGCTTTGTGATTAAGAGCTTTACTCTAACTTCCCTGTGACATCATGGTACGTGCCGCTCCGCAGCTGTCCACATCAAAAACATTCACATCTATATCCTCAGATTCATACTTCAGTGAAAGGCTTTTAACCAAACAAACACATTTATTAAACTGCATACAATGTATACCATTCCCACAGAGCAGACACGTTCAGCTGTCTGATGTATCCCCACTCACACTCACTCACTCACTTGCGTCCCGTCCAGCAAAGGACAAACACCTTTTTGTTATAAACATTAAAAATGGGTGAGTAGTATTTGTACATTGTCACTTAACCTGTGCTGCTTGACTTCAGGGAGTACAAATCATTATGAAATTAACATTATCCACAGAAGAGGTGCAAATTTTTCCACCAGTACTGGCCCACAGACTATAGGGTGAGAGAACAACATAAAGTGATGTTCCTTATTCCTTACACAAAATTGGATCACTATGTCATGCCACAGCTGCATGAATAAAATGAACTAGTGTCCTTGGATGCTTGGCTTTCTTGTTAATATTAATTACTTATTAGAGGATTAAACTTTTCTTTAGATCACTCTCCTTTCTTTGAAATTGCTTTTCTTTCTCTCAATCATTTCTTGAGTTTCACTCTCTGAAAGAGAAGGTGTCATCCTACGTCCTGTTCAGATTTATTTGTGGCCTGTTTTCCTTTTGGCAACATTACAAACCAAACCACTTGTGTACAAACCCAAGTTTCTAAATTTGTTTCTTCCTCCTGCTATTTTAGAAACAAAGTGTTACAACATCCAAACAGAAGTGCTATTTATGGCTGAACATGCCACATGAATTATTGCATTCATTATTGACATGTAGTTTTATCATCTGTCAGTGTCAAGTGAATGAATGGCGGATTATTTTTCACATGCATTTTCTTTTGTTCTTGTTTTATGAGCCTGTGTTATTTGCCACAACAAAGGGTGGCTTAGTTAGAAACCCAGTGATGCTGTCAGCGAGGTGGTTCAGCAGCTGATCAGTGGGAAAGTGGGAGCTGACATCTAAAGAGTCGAATCCCTGCCCAGCTTTTGGGGGGCAGAGAGAATACACAACTGGACTCTTTCCAGTCAGTCAGCCATTGTTGTAGAGCAGCCTTTCATTGGTCCCGTCACCACAGCTACACCGTCCTGAATAAGCTGGGCTGCATGTTCCAAGGCCCGGTGATGTTGGGATGGTAACTTGGGTTTGTTTTGAACGGTGTAACCGTGGAGACTGCCATTGCTAAGCTCTATTGAGAGATCCCTTCAATGCCCCTTGGGGGTCTGTATACTGAACTGATCTCCTCTAGCGAGCACACAGCCTGTTGCAAATGAAGGTTAAGCTTTGCAGTCTTCAACTTTACACAAAACTTGGAGTGTTACAAGGTTGGACACAGCAGATTTACTGTTTCTTGCTGCTGAATACAAAGTGGAAGATACTGACTCTGGTACTGACTTGGTATACTGAGTGTTTCTTATTATTCAGGGATGCCTGCGGTCATCAGTGTTGAAATAACCCGTAGTATGTTAGAATAGCTTCATCACTGTGTAAGTTATATGCTGCGTCAGATAGTATTACCACAAGTAAAATACCACAAACTCACAAGTTACCTGAACTTAAATGGATGTATTCAAATTAGTGCTACAACAATTATCGAATAATTGTTTAAGAGATGTAAGCAAAAATACCAATAATGTGCTGGAACTCTGCTTGTAAAATATGAGTTCTTGTCTGTATCATTGTAAACTAAATATCTTTGAGGTTTGGACAGCAATTTGAAGGTCCGGTGTGTAACATTTAGGAGGGTCTATTGGCAGAAATGGTATATAATATGCATAATCATGTTTTCATTAGTGTATAATCACCTGAATATAAGAATCATTATGTTTTGATTACCTAAGAATGAGGCTTTTATATCTGCAGTCGCAGCAGGTCGCCGTCCATAGAGTCCACCATGTT